ATTTCCATTCTGTAACACAGTCAATTGGTTTTGTAAATTTATTTGCTGCATCTCTACCCAAACCCACCATGACCTCACTTTGGAAGAACCTCCAAAAAAACATTCAATTGCAAATGAGATGTGCAATTTTATAGTCTGGGAACAAGGAAGAGTATTTGAAGACACAAATTTTAAAGCTGTTATATACTATATAACACAGTGTTTGTCATTAATATGCCAATGGGAGTAGGCCAAATAGAGTAGAGACAAGTTTTCTCCACAGTATTATTACAATTAGCACAAATTAACATTTGATAAATAAATAGCAATATATTTCCTTATAGATTCCCTTTTTCAGAAAAAAGTATGAAGTAATGGCAGAATTACCATACTGCTTTATTTATCCAAATTATTTTAAGAAAAAATGTAAAGTTATATAAATAGTAATTTAAATTATATGGGAAATGTCTGTTGTTGTTGTTGGGTGCCATCAAGTGGATTCTGAATTATAAGGACTCTATAGGACAGAGTAGAACTGCCCCATAGGGTTTCCTAGCCTGTAATCTTTATGGGAATAGATTTTCAGATCTTTCTCCTGGAAATGTATGTTGTTGTTAGGTGGCATTGACTCATCTCTGACTCATAGTGACCCTATGCACAGCACAACAAAAACACACCCAGTCTTGAGCCAGCTCCTCGATTCTTGCTATACTTGAGCCCATCCCCACTACCACTGTGTCAATCCATCTCATTGAGGGCCTTCCCCTCTTTTGTCAATCCACCTTAGCAAGCATGACATCCTTCTCCAGGGAGCAGTCCTTCTGACAACATGACCAAAATATGTGAGACAAAATCTGGCCATTCTCACCCCCAAGGAGCATTCTGGCTGCACTTCCTCCAGGACAGACCTGTTAGTTCTTTTAGCAGTCCATGGTACTTTGAGCATTCTTAGCTCAAAAGCATCAATTCTTCTTCAGTCTTCCTTATTCATTGTCTAGCTCTCGCATGCATATGAGGCGATTGAAAATACTATGGCTTGTGTCAGGTGCACCTTAATCGTCAAAGAGACATTTTTGCTCTTCAGCACTTGAAAGAGGTCCTTTGCAGCGATTTGCCCAGTGTAGCATAGTGCCTAAGACACTTGACTGCTAACCAGAAGGCTGGTGGTTCAAACCCACCAGCCACTCCTCGGAAGGAAGGTTGGGCAATCTACTTCTATAGTGATACTGCCTCAGAAACCCAATGAGGGGTCACTATGAGTTGGGGCCAACTCGATGGCGCATAAGAAAACATACATCATCTGATGTCCTGACTGCTGCTTCCATTGACGTCGATTGTAGAACCAATTGATATGAAGTCTTTGACAATTTCACTCTTTTCTCCATTAATCATAATGTTGTTTATAGGACCAGTTGTGAGGATTTTTGTTTTCTTTATATTGAGATGTAATCCATACTGCAGATTGTATTCTTCAATCTTCATGAGTAAGTGCTTCAAGTCACCCTCACTTTCAGCAAGCAAAATTGTGTCATCAGTATATCACAGGTTGTTAATGATTCTTCCTCCAATCCTAATGCCACATTCTTCTTCATATAGTCCAGCTTCTCAGATTATTTGCTTAGCATACAGATTTAGTAAGTATGGTGAAAGGATACAACCCTGACACACTCCCTTCTTGATTTTAAACCATGTAGTGTTCCCTTTTTCTGTTTGAACAACAGCATCCTGGTCTATGTACAGGTTCCTCATGAGAACAATTAAGTGTTCTGGAATTCCCTTTATTCTCAATGTTGTCCACAATTTGTTATGGTCCACACAATCAAATGCTTTTACATAGTCAATGTTCTGGTTAGCTGGTGCCGCTCTGATAAGAATTACCACAAATGCGATGGCCGTAACAAACAGGAGTTTATTCTCTCACAATTTGGAGGCTTTAAGTCCAAGTTCAAAGTGCCAAGCTCTAGGGGCTGGGTGAAAGCCCCTCAACCTTGCAGTCCAGTTCTGCCTCCTGTTCCAGGCCCACTGGAGCTAGAGGTGTTTCTTCACTCAGACAGCTGCTGGCTGCTGAGGCTGAGAAGCCCCAAGGTTGACAAGTAAAAAAGCACAGTCCCAATGTTACCAGACCACATTGCAGGCCATTAACTTAAGTCCATTTTAAGTCCCAAGGTCAGCAGAACATAGCAGGCTGATGAGCAACAACATGGCTACATGCAGGGTCCAAGCGTGCCATAGGCTAGAGACGATTCTCAAAGCTTCTCCTTATATACAGGAAGCAGACCACATACCCAAAGGCAGCTACTCAGCTGCTCCCAGTAGATTCCACCATGGAGTTGATTACCAGTCTCATCATGGGGAATACTCAACTGGGCCTAGCCAAGTTGGCCCACAAACATAACCACCACAGTCAATAAGACACAAGTAAACATCTTTCTGATATTATTTCCTTTAAACCAAGATCCATCTGACTTCAGCAATGATATCCCTTGTTCCATGTTCTCTCCCAAATCCAGCTTGCACCCCT